TAGCAAGGTTAAAACCTATCTAGGATAACTTCTTAAAGCTCTTATAGTCTAAATTAATTCTGATTTTATAGCGAAAATATTTAGCAACATAAAGCATACTTTGACACAAAAGTTAAGAAAAGAGTAATTCTGATCAGTGCTTCCAAATCTGTGCTAGAAGTATCAGGCTGAGTAAAATGAACAGGAGGGAGCAGGGTGCAAAGCCGGCTAGACCCCAGGACTGCTGTTGTGGGCATGGCACTCACAGCCTATGTGTCCACTCCAGACAGCAGCAAGCTGACCTGTGTGGATCATGCTGTGGCTGTTGGAGGTGAACAAGAGGCAGATGTGTGACGGAACGCTGTCACTGAGTGCCATCCCCTCCCCGAGTGCCGATTGGTGCAAATTGGTTCGCGCCCTTTTTCCTGATTGCCCGCCGGTGTTTTGGGCGGAAATTTGAATCACCGGTCAAAACCAAGTGATTCTGTGGAGCTATTTTCAGGTATGTACAGAGCCTCAAGCCCAGATTTTGTACAACGATTTCTCAGGCTTTGTACATTCGATATCTCCGCAACTAGCAGGGATCATAGCTGGGAACAGGAGCTATTTGTGGATGCATGGCATGTGTGGATGCGTTACTGTATTTTGTGTATTTTTGTGTGTTTGACTTCCTGTGTTCCAGATACAGCGGTACCGGGGTGGGCTTTGGTTTTGTATTGCTGTAAATGGAGACCCCCCGCGGGGGTCTGTGCATAAATACTGTGTATCTTGCCTGCAATAAACAGTTCCTTTTCACCCTTCATTAAGTCTTGTGATACCACGATCACCCTCCTGCAAGGGACTATAATCACTGGCTCGCAGCTATAATCACTCTAGGGCTGGGCACAACTGGGAAGGGGCGACCACAGGCGGTAGTAACCCATCCTCGAGAGGGTATACCACCACAATAGGCACCTGTAGCAACTGGTTACAGTGTGTTCCAAGTAAATGTGGTAATTAATAAACTCACAGTAACTGGAATACTAGCAGCCAAATAGAACATGTATTCAACAATGCTATGCTACAATCAGGATGCCAGATAAAGTCATGTCCTATTGTTTATTTAGTTACCTATTTAGGTGTAGGATAGATAATATTACAACAAAATGGAAAATATACTAGACTATGTACTAATTGTCAGAGGCTAATAATTACTTATATTTATATATTAATATCAAAATACAGTTAGAATGAAATTACATATATATATATAAATTATATATACTTCCTTGATATATGTATATCAAGGAAGGTGCACTCACAGGACTTTGTAGATAAATCTTGAAGCTTTATTGTACAATCATACACCAGAAAATGTGTCGATGTATCAGTCCTCTATCGGACTTTTTCTTGGTCTTGAGAAAAGTCCCATAGAGGACTGAAATGTCCTTGAGACTTATATGTTGACATAAGTGATTTGCACCCTTGGCAAGAACAAGACCGGGAAAGTGAGTGCTGGATCCACATGTGTGTGTATATATATATATATATATATATATATATATATATATATATATTGTATATTTGTAAACTGGCACTACATAAGTATCACAAGCTTGGGACTGAGTGGAGTGCCTTTGATTTGTTGGGTCGAAATTATGAGTGCCTGATTACACTCGTATCCCCATTGGAAGAGAATGCCGAACAAAGACCTTTGAACCATAACAACTTGTGACCTAAAAGTCAATTAACCCCCAAATCTTGGCAGTTTTCATAATAATGAATTGTTCTAAGAAGCTGTAAAGAATTAAATAGAGAACATTAACATCAAAGATTTAGAATTTCATCCAAACAGCAATTTATCTAAACGAGAACAACAAGCTCTATTATCACTAAAAAAGTGAAGATAAAATAACCCTAAAGCCGGCCGACAAGTGGGGTAACATAGTTATTATGAACTCAAACAACTATGTTGGTGTGCTTAAAAGAGTCCTGGATGATGAGGAAACATATAAGGCTCTCAAAACAGTTCCCACCAATTTCTTTGAGTTTTAAGGAAATCTTAGATGTTGGCCGCAGTGAGGGGTTGCTCTTAGGTGATGAATATGATCTAATTTTACATAGTCATCCCAGAACAGAAACCTTGTCCTGCCTGCCCAAAATTCATAAGAATCTACATAATCCTCCCGGCCTTCCCATTGTATCAGGGTTGGATATTTTAACACAGAATCGAAGTATTTAAATTGATAGGATCTTGAGATCTTTTGTGGAAAAGCTGCCCATATGCATTCAGGACACAAAACTCTGAAAGTGCCAAACTGTGCAAACTTATGTAGCCTTGAAGTCGAAATCATTATACTCTAACATCTTGCATGACAGAGGCATCCAACATGTAAAAATTTTCCTGGACAAGAGAAGGGACAATCATTAGTCACAAACTAGATTCACACGGAGGCTCCTCGAGTTTATCCTGACCCACAATCATTTTTTTTTTCAATAACAAATTTTACCACCAGGTGAGGGGCATTACGATGGAGACAGCTTGTGCCCAGTTGTATGCTAACCTTCACCTATGGTTGTGAGAGGAAAAGGTGGCTCAATCAGAAAAATTCACAAAATACCTCCACATGATATATATGTGGTGTTGTTATATAGATGACATCAGGGTTGTGTCACAGGGTACTTTAGGTTGTCGCAGGGTACTTTAGAGGACTTCAATAGATTTGTATCCATTTTGAATGCAAGTAATGAAAATGTATGGTTCACTTGTAAATATGGTGGTTCCACATTGAATTTTTTAGATCTAACAAATTTCAATTACGGAACAAAAAAACTATTCAAACAACCTTTTTCAAAAACCGGCGTCCAATAACCTTTTTTTCTTGTGATCAGTGCAGGAAATATAAAAAAAACACACTTTGGATATACTGGTCCTTTGAAGTGTTTTGTAGATGGCATGTTCGTATCTGATCACCAGAAGGGGTGTGCGGAATTTCAAACTTGGTAGTGACAGGTCACCGATTATGTGAATATAGTAAAACAGCCAATAGTAATATAAAATAATATAAAAAGCAGTAATATAAAATAAATAAATAAAAGGAGAGGTACTCACAAAAGCAGAGCAAATGTAGGTTTTGCTCAGACCTGAAGACGTAGGTGGTATAATCTCCACCAAGAATGTAAAAGGTGGAATCCTCTCAGTAAAATCTTCTTTTAAGAATAGTCAGGAGGGTCCAAAGTAGATAAAAAAATATTCACTTGTTTATTAGAAAATAAAAAACATAAGTAAAGGTAAAATACAATTAACGTGTTTTGCCAAAACAGCAGGCTTTTTAAAAAGTGTATTTTCCTTAGATGACGTCAGAGCTAAGTAATAGTCACGTCCCCAAAGCATGAGCTACGAATTAGAGTGAGTGCCAATGGCCAGGGGTGGGCACCACTCTAAGGATTTCATAAAAAGCTGGCCTCTTATTACATTTCTATAGCGGATTAGCTGCATGACGTTGGCGTGGGTGAGCCTTTTGCCCTTTCAAACCCGGAATGGCGCAGATAATCTGTTTGCTTGTGACAAAGGTGCATTAAAGCGCAAAACGCGCCTGGAGTGGACGCCTGCTTTAAATCTTTGCTTAGGGAACCAATATATTTTTGCCCTGGACACTATCCTAGAACAACTTCTACAATGATAAATCTTAGGAGACTTTATAATCTGGCAATTAGGGGGACTGCCTTGAAGCAGTGGGATGGGAGGGAGTTTGTTTAGTAAGACTGAGGGGCGGTGCAAGGATTTTTGGCTACACAGGCGACGACGCATTTTGGTAGCACCGGCCCTGGTTTAATAGGGGAGATCTATTGCGCATGCACGGCCGGCGGCGGGGGAGACCTAGAGATGCTCTCAATGCTTTCCTATGGGGATTTCAGCAACGCTGGAGGTCGTCACATAGCGTGAGGACATCCAGCGACGCTATAGCACAGAAAATCTGTGCTATAAACCAGGAAATGCCGTCTAGTGGCTGTCTAATAGACCGCCACTAGAGGAGGAGTTAACCCTGCAATGTAAATATTGCAGGTTATGAAAACTGCAATATTTACAGTTGGGCAGAAGTGGTCTGGGTGCCTGAAGTGTCCCTTTAAAGTTATTCTACATTTAGTGAGTTTTTTCCACTTAGTTATAAACTACTGCCACCCTGGTATCTGCTCTGGAATTCCATTATTTATACCCCTCTATTCAATGATTAACTTTTTATTCATCTAAGCTTTCAAATCATCTTTTCACTTTTCTCCAGATTATGGGCATTAGAGGTTATTCCTCTAAATATTAAGTAGATGTTTCTTTTTACTACTATGCAGTGGCGTACACATGACCCATGGGGCCCCGGTGCGAAAATTGATCCGTGGGCCCCCCTTCCCCCCCCCCCGCGCTTACTCGGCGCGGGTCGGGGCCGCAACACATGGCGGCGGGCACCTGGTCGCAGGGGTTGCAGGGCTGCGACCCCTCGACCGCGGTATGCACACACACTTAAAGGACCACTACAGACACCCTGATCACATCAGCTCAATGAAGTGGTCTGGGTGCCAGGTCCTTCTAGTTTTAACCCTGCAGCTGAAAACATAGCAGTGAAAACGGCTATGTTTCACTGAGGGTTAATCCAGCCTCTGGTGGCTGTCTCATTGACAGCTGCTAGAGGAGCTTCTGTGATTCTCACTGTGAAAATCACAGTGAGAAGACACTGAACGTCCATAGGAAAGCATTGAGTAATGCTTTCCTATGGGCGGTTTAAATGCGCGCGCGCGCCTCTTGCCACGTATTTGCATTCGGAGCTGAGAGGCGGACACTGGGGAGTCCGACGCTGGAGAAAGGTAAATGCTGAAGAGACACACACACAAACTCTCACGAACAGACGCATACACACTAGCTAACAGACGCACACATTTACTGACAGAGACACACTCAGCGACAGACATACATACACACTCACTTACAAAACATACACTTTCACTGACAAACACACACTCACTAACAGACAAACACACTCAGTAACAGACACACAGTAACACACTCACTAGCAGACACACACCCAATAACAGACACACTCACTGACACACACTAACACATGCACTAACACAAACACTAATACACTAACACACACATACACTAATACACTAACACACACATACACTAACACACACACTCATACACTAACACACACACACTCTCATACACTAACACACATACACACACACTAACACACACACATACTAACACACATACTAAGACACACACACTAACACACACATACTAAGACACACATACACTAACACACACACACACACACTAACACACATACTAAGACACACATACACTAACACAAACATACACTAACACACACACTAAGACACACATACACTAACACATTTTTTTTTTTAAATTTAATCCCCCCAGCCTCCTTACCTATTGGAGTGCTGGGGGGATTCCCTGGGGTCCAGTGGTGCTGCTGCTGGGCTCCTGGGCAGGCGGGAGGGTGCGCGAGGGAGCACTCTGCTCTGAGTGCTTCCTTTTCAGCTCCCTCGCGCGCCGCTTAGGGATGCCGGCGCCGGAAGATGACGTCATCTTCCGGCTCCGGTATCAGTGCGGTGCGCGAGTGAGCTGAAGAGGAAGCACTGAGTGCTCCCTCGCGCACCCTCCCGCCTGCCTACCGGGTGACAGCAGGGCCAGCCTTGGGGGGCCCTGGGGTGACCGGCTCCTGGGCCCCCCCAGGAGGAGAGGCTGGCCCTGTGGCTACATACCGGGTCGCAGGGGCGGCCGGGCCCCCTGGTGGGCCGGGCCCGGTAGCAGCCGCGACCCCTGCGACCCTGGTATGTACGCCACTGCTACTATGCTCTCCTCTTGTGCTTGGTAATTATTAGCCTCTCACAATTAGTACTAATTCAGAGCAATGCGTGTGTTTTCTTTTACTATTACTTATTCTACACCAAAATGGATAATAACTAATAAACATTAGCAGCTGACTATATCTGGCACCTTAATTGTAGCATAGCATTGTTGAATACTTATTTTATTTGGCTGCTAGTATTCCCGTTATTGTGAGTTTATTAATTACCACATTTACTTGGAACACACTGCAACCAGTTGCTATAGGTGCTGTAATACAACTCCCGTTTCCCTGATAATTCAACGGCTGATTTAATTGTTAGAAACTATCCTATTTCTAGGAAACATATTCTCTTTCTTAGGATATCGTTTGATATTTCAGGAATAATCACAATATTTGACTTCAAAACTGAGATATACCTCTAACAAGGCTTTTCATTCACAAGAGGATTTTGCATAAAAGGCTATTTCAACTGTTCATTTTCCGCAGCCAGATATTTCTACCACTGATTTTGTAAACA